ACCCCCACCTCCACCACCACCAAATAAACCTCAGTAATAATTTTAAAGAGAGATCAGGCCATCTAGCTAAACAGTTTTGATAATTCTAAGGTCATCTGCCATAAACAAATTTTTTCTCTTTAGTTTTATATATGTCTCAGAAATGATTGAGTGATACTCTAGCAATTCTGGAGACTCTATTTTAACACCTTCTTTATATCACACAGTAAATAGCATAGGAGTTGTGTCTAAATGTACATTTTTAATTATTTATTTATAATTATACTATTGCATGAGCTTCCTACTAAAATGTCTTTATGCTCTAGATAACATTCCTATATCATAGCAATGTGGTCAAGTGTAGAATTAAATTTTAAAGATTTCTTTCTATAATAGACTTCAATCTACAATTAGGTGTTAAATGTTCATCCTACCCAAAATAATCTACAGATTCAATGCAATTCCTATCAAAATTCCAACGGCCTTTTTTACAAAAATACAAAAATAAATCCTAACATTCATATGGATCCATAACAAAACCACAGTATCCAAAGCAATCTTGAGCAAGAAGATCAAAGCTGGAGGCATCACACCGCCTTACTTCAAAATATTTTACAAAGATATAGTAATAATGACAGTACAGTTCTAGCATAAAAATAGATATGTAACAGCAATGGAACAGAGTAGAGAGCTTAGAAATAAATATACACATTTATGTTCATCTGATCTTTGACATAGGTGCCAAGAACACACAAAGGGGAAAAGACAAGTATCTTCAATAAATGGTGTTGAGAAAACTAGATAATCATATGCAGAAAAATGAAATTGGACCCTTATCTCAAGCCATATACAAAAATCAATTCAAAATGGGTTAAAGACTTAAACATAAAACCTGAAACTAATGCTACTAGAAGAAAACAGGGGAAAAAAGCTTCTTGACATTGATCTGGGCAATGATTTTTGGGGTAAAACCCAAAAGCAAAAGTAAACAAATAGGGCTGTACCAAACTAAAAAGCTTTTCCCAGCAATGGAAACAATCAACAGAGTGAAGCAACAATTTACAGAAAGGAAGAAAATTATTTCAAATCATCTGATAAACAGTTAGTATCCAAAATGTATAAGGAACTCAACTCAATAGCAAGAAAACAAGTAGCCCAATTTAAAAAAAAACACAGAGGACATGAGTAGACATTTCTCAAAAGAAGATAACAGGTATATGAAAAAAGTACTCAACACTACTAATCATCAGAGAAATGCAAATCAAAACCACAATAAAAATCACCTCACACCTTTATGAATCCACCTAAGTGTTCGTCATTTGCAACAACACTGATGAACCTGGAGGACACTGTGCTAAGGGAAATAAAGCAGGTATACAAAGACAAGTACTGCATATTCTCATTCGTATGTGGAAATTAAAAAAGTTGAACTCTTCGGAGCAGAGAGTAGAATGGTGATTATCAGGAGCGGCAGGGTGGGGGAAATGAGGAATTATTATTGGTCAAAGGGTACAAGCCTTCAGATATGTAGGATGAACAAGTCTGGAAACCTAATGCACAGCATGGTAACTATTGTCAACAATATTGCACTGTAGACTTGAATTTGCTGAGAATAGATCTAAATTAGTTTTACATTCACATAAAAGGTAATTGTGTGAGGTGATAGATATGGTAATTAGCTTACTATGTTAACCATTTTACAATGTATACATGTATCAAAAAATTACATGGTACATCTTAGAAACATACAATTTTTATTTGTCAGTTATATTTCACTAGTAGTCCTGTGCATGAATCCATGCGCCAGTAGCTCTCTGAAGGGCCTGGCCACTCTGCACCAGCTGCCCAGAGGCCTTCCGCAGCCAGGATGAAACACTTGCCTTGTCGCCACGGTGATGAGGCAAGCATTCCACCATGCCGCTCATGCTGCCCGTTCTTGGAGGCCGCCCCTGTCTAGACTGGGGGTCTCCAACGGAGCTGAGAGGACTGGGCGCCGCCATCTTGTGGCTATGGGTGCCACCATCTTTGTGATGGACTGATGGTTAATTTGCATATTACCCTTTTATTAGATAGAACTAGAGGTCCGGTGCACAAAAATTTGTTCACTCAGTGGGGGAGGGTTCCTCAGCCTGGCCTGTGCCCTCACGCAATCTGGGACCCATCGGGGAATGACCATCTGCTGGCTCAGGCCTGCTCCCTGAGGGATTGGGCCTAAGATGGCAGTGAGACATCCCTCTGGCAGCCTGGCAGCCCTCAGGGAATGTCCACTTGCCAGTGGGGAGCAGACCTAAGCTGCAGTCAGACATCCTTAGCGCTGCTGAGGAGGCAGGAGAGGCTCCCAACCACCACCACTGTACTGGCAGCCATCAATTGCAGCTAGCTATACCCCCTTTAGGATGGGGGTCCCCACTGGGGTGCCTGGCCAGCCTGGATGAGTAGATGGCTGTTTTCAGGCTGGCCGGCAACTGAAGCTCCCAGCCTCTCTTTTATTTATTTATTTTTTTATTTTGGGATTTATTTACCTTCTATAATTGAAACTTAGTTGCTGTCACTGAAGCTGAGAGTCAGCTCCAGCTCTGAGGCCACGGCCTGCAGAAAGCAGGTATCTGGGGTTTGTTTAGCTTCTATAATTGAAACTTTGTTGCTTCCGGAGGTCAGAGCCGGGCCGCGGCAGACGGGAACCCTTGGCTTCCTTCATCACTGGAGCAAGCAAGCCTTCTGCTCGCTTCAGCTGCGTGGCTGCCAGCTGCCATCTTGGTTGGTGGTTAATTTGCATATCACCCTGATTAGTCAATGGGAAACGTAGCAAAGGTACGGTCAATTACCCTTTTGTCTTTTATTAGATAGGATTAGGCTAGAAGAAGAAAAATTAGGCAATTTTTCTGAAGTAGCCACCCTGTGATCAGTCTCTGTCCCCCAGATGCAGGTCTCTTGGAGGACAAGATGCATAGCACTGCAACAAACAGGCACTTTATACACCAGACTAGGAAGAGGTTGGACTTTTCATTACCATCCAGGTGAGATGGTACCTATTGGCAGGGAAAAAATTAAAACATTTGGTAGTGTCCAGTTTGCTGAGAATGGGGAGATTTAAATATTGTACTAAGAACAAAAATTAGAGAAAAATGGTGGCATCTATCAAAATGTAAAAACCAAATTTGTTTGAACCATAAATTTTCTTCTAGGGAATCATGCTACAGGTAAATAAGTTTGTACATGCACACATATACAAACATTCACACACATATACAAACATTCACACACACACACACACACACACATACACACACATATATATATGCATACATACAATTATAAACACAAACACCCATACATTTATATAGACACACACATGCATCCAGACAAATAGACCACATTGCAGGGTGCTAATTACAACATGGTTGGTAATAGGAAAAAAAAAAGAAAGAGTGGAAACAAGATAAATGTCATCAATGGTGACTGGTTAAATAAACTATGGCACCAAAATGCAACAAAGTAAAATACTAGTATCCAGTTTTTTGAAAAATGAAATAGCTTTACATATTGAAATAAAAAACATATGTCCAAGACAAAATATAAGCTCCATGAGAGCAGGAATTGTGTCTGTTTTGATCACTGCTATACCATCTGGGTCTAGAATAGTATATGGCACAGAAGTCCTCAATAAATATTGTTGAATTGAAATAACTGTGTTATTCAGTAAAAACATATGGCAGAAAGGGCATGAATAAAGAAGGTAGCAATGAACAACACCTTGACTGCATGTTCAAAAATAACATCACAAATGAGGCATATGTGAGCATGTGTGACTCTAGTTGTGCTATTCTAGAACATATCACTTATGTAGTATCCCACACAAGAATGCATAAAGAAATATCAGACAAACCCAAAATGAGAAAAAGTCTATTAAATTCTTCAAAAATTCTGTTATAAATAATAAAGAACTGCTGAAAAAATGGTTCCGGATTAACAGGGACTAATGAGATATAACCAAGTACAATATATGATCCTAAACTAGACCTGGTACTGAAGGGGGTAAAATACCATAAAGTACATTCCACCAATCTCATAAAAGTTTTGTATCAGTGACAAAGTTATTGAGGTTGATAATTGTATGGTGCTTATGAATATCATTATTCATAGGAAACACACACTAAAATATTTAGGGATTACAATAGATTAAATGATTATGTGTCCACCAATTCATATGTTAAATCCTAATGCCCAATGTGATGGTATTTGGAGGGAGGGCCTTTGGGAGATGACTAAGCCATCAGAGTGGAGCTCTCAGGAATGGGATTAGTGCCCTTATATGAAACGATCCCAGAGAGCATCCTCACTGCCTCCACCAGATGAGGACACAGTGAGAAGAAAGCAACCATTTATGAACCAAGAAGCAGATTCTCACCAGACACGGAATCTGACTGTACTTTGACCTTGGATTTCCCAGCCTCTAGAATTGTGATAAATTTCTGTTGTTCATAAGCCACTCAGCCTATGGTATTTTGTTGTAGCAGCCCAAATAGTCTAAGACAGAAATTAGCAGGCCATAATGTATGCATTTTACTTTTGATCAGTTCAGGAAAAAAAAAATTGATGGATAGATGGACAGACATAGCTACAGAGAACAAATGATAAAGCATTTGAGGCAAAATATGAACAGCCATGAATCTGGATAAAATATTTTTTTTCTAAATTCTTGGAACCTTTTTGTAAGTTTGAGCTTTTTGCCAAATAAAAACTTTTCTAAAAGACACACACACACACACACACACACATGCAGGTTCTGGAACTAAATACCAAAAAATGTTCATAATACTTACCTCCAGGGAATGGGAATACAGGGATTTTGGGGGTAGGGGTGGGTATAGGATTATTGAGAGGGAAGGGGACTCTTAGCTTTTGTTTAATATCCCTCTAAGCTGTCATAATTTAACATGAACTACCTGTGCAATAAGATGATGCCTAATTAATTTTAAAGCAGCATTTTGGAGT